TAAAATTCCCTACAACAATTTTGTGTTTCGCCATGCACTGGCTTCTTCAGGTGAACAAAATACTTTTAAAATTAAGGACAAATTACGTTGTCTCTATATTTATATACTAACTATAACATGACGCAAGTAGGGGAAACATTAAATTACTTAGGATTCAAAAAGGAAGAATTACCTACCTATTTGAATTTATTTGATTATTAGAAATAATATTTAATGTATTATATTAATTAATAATACATATGCTTTCTATAGGATGTAGTCTAACTTCCTCTAGGCAACGTTTGTAATACTTTAACTTGCTGGTTTAATTGATGTTTCTCGGTTTAATGACATTTAGTTTAAAACTTCATGGACTTTAATTTATCCATGATTAAAGGATTTCCCCGTTTGTTCAATGTACAATTATGTTACAGTCTCTACATTCTAATAAATAAACTTCAGCTTTTAATATTTTATCAGTTTTGTCTATATTATTTTTTATAAAATATGTAAAAGTATCTTTGGTTACGAAGGAAGCTGTGATAAGTTTTTGACCTTTTCAATAATCTACTAATCTTCTGGAAAAGACCGTTATAGGTAAATAAGAGAACAGAAATTACTGTTTTTTAGGTGTTTATTAGATAAATTACACTCATGGTTACAATTTTAAGTTTCTAATATTAATTTTATTAGTTGAATGAAATTAATAACCGTTGTTTTGGAATGTACATAAAATTCTGTTTAATTTTCTGTTATATTTTATGATTAACAGGATGAAGTAATTTTGCATATTATCACGTAATCAAACACCATTTTGATTACTCCCTAAGTTTTTTAACCATTTACTAATCAATACCACAATTCACTTCTGTATCACACACTTTGTCGCCTTTGTTGCCTATACGTGATATTGTATGTTGGGGCTACATGTGACACGGTCACCCTTCTAAAACTAATCGTTCCGACCAATGACGTCGCCTCTGTAGGAGGAAAGGCGACCCTCTGTAGGGAGTAAGCCGGTCAAGAGTCGAGTAACGGTGTCTCTCAAACTTGCTGTAGATTATATAGCCATACATTGTCGCTCTCATTAAACCCTGCAAGGTTGGCTCGTCGATTGTATTTGGCCTTCATGCGCCCACTTTCAAATCGCAGCTTCGTACACACAGCACGTAGATGGTTTCTAGTAGTTCTGGAAGTTTGCGAACGTATTCGTTCTTAGATACTGGTGAATCTCCAGGGCGATCAAGCATCACGTCCGCTGATAAACTGAGTTCTTTCCCAAATAAAATGCTAGTAGGTATTCTTTTAGTTGTCTCATGAGATTCGTTCTCTTAAGGGACAATCACACTTTAAGTGACCTATATTCCTACAATTTCAGCATTTTGGACTGCCACCATAGTTCTTACAGTCTCGAGCTAATTGACCAGTCCTTCCATATTTTCAACATTTTGGGTTTAATTTTCCCGTATTTCTAGCACTGGCTATCTTGACATCTATTATACATTCCTTGATGAGCTACTGGATACCCTTCTTTGAAGTTGTGCCATCGTCCATCTCAGCTTGTTGCAACCGTACATGACCCTTAGAAGCATGTTTCGCAACTTCAAATACTAATGCATATGACAATACCTCAGTTGGAGTCTTGTGGCGTGCTAGTCTTAGAAATTGCTGTAGTTCGGCATCCCTGGCTCCATCGATGAATGTTTGCACAGCTAGATGGTTTATGAACTCGTGAGGGGCATATGGATAGACTAAACTTATGTGGCGCTCCACATCGACCTCAAGTTCTGGAAGAGTCTCATTACTTTTTTGGCTACGGCTTTTCAGTTGTGTATGATGTACTTATTGTAAATGTTTATGACCGTATCGTATTTCTAAGCGGTTGACAAGGTGGTGGAAGTCATAATGTTGTGATTTGGGCGTTGGAGTACATCCTCGCAGAGAAATTATGAAATTATTAGTGCTGTTGCTTCTTCTAAATCAGTCCATGCGTTTGTTTTTGCTGCTGCTCCAAACTGCATCAGGCGAACGGACCATAAGATCTTTCTATCGAAAGTTGGAGGTGTAATTTTTTAAAGTCTAGCATCGGAATCGCCAAGCCTCGCAGTGGCAGGTAGTTTTAGCTTTTCAATTTCTTCTCTCCTTTGTTTGCTTTGATTTCCGTCTCTTCTATCATCTTTTTCCATTTCATCTCTACTATCATCTATCTTTTCCTCCATTATTATGTTTATTACTTCTTGTACGTTCTTTATTTCTGTTTTAATTTCCTACTTCACTTTAACTCTTCTTGTCCCATTTTAATGTCATCTTGTACTGCTTTTAATTCTTGCTTTATTTCTCTCTGTCCGTTTTTTGCTTTTTTTCTTGTGCCTCTTCGTCTGTTTCACTTCTTGTCCTGATTTCATTTCTACCATCATTACCATCAAAGCCTTTATTTGTTCCTTCATTTTTGTTTTGCTATCTCTGGTTGTAACAGGTATGAAATATCTCGCTTTCTTCTAGAAAGTTCTACGAAATTCTGCTATTCTGGCAGAATCGTTCTTCCTTCTTCGCGAGCTTTCAGATGATGTGCGGTTTGTTATTGTTATTAACAGTCCGTGGAAGTACTGGTCCAAAATGAAGTAGACAAAATGTCAGCAAAATAAAATGATTTGACTATAGGTAATTGTATATTGGGGTTTGTTTAATAAACCGGTCGTTAAAAAAAGCACAAAATTTTTTTAACGCAAACACAAGGAAAAATAATGTTTTGAAGTCATATATTTATAAAAAATTGCAGAAAATAATAAATATGTAATGGAAAAAATACAATCCTGAAATAATAAAAATCGAAAATAGAGACTTAATCAGAGTAAAGAGTAAAAAAAACTGACAGACAATATGGTTGTAATAAATGTACGTGTAACTACGTCTAGGAGAATAGGTACACACCTTATAATAGGCAAATGCGGCCGGGAAGGAAATACCAATCAAGTCGTATGAGGAAGGGAATGAATATCGTCGCACTTTTTTTATGTATTGATCGCTTCTGTACATTAAGATGTTATTATTATTATTAGGATCTTATTATAAAGAGTGACATAACCTAGAGGACACTGGCTCGATTCCGGGTCTATCTGCCCTGGTACAAGTCTTTCTGCGGTTTCCTTGGATCATTTATTAGGCATATGTTGGGGTAGTATTATTTCGTAGATTGAGAGAGAGTGAGAGCTCTCTACTGTCTTCATTTCGTCCATTTTCTGACCCACCACTCACCCATTCCCATAATTCCTAGAAAAAGTCGAGCATTAATAGCTGGTNAAAATTAATTATTGTTAATTATACACTATAAATTAATTATGTTTGTAATTGTTTAATTGATGCCGTTGGATAATTGTTCAGAATATACACCGAATTTCCTTTTAGAGGGATATTCAATATCAGTATGTGCCATGCACAAAATGAATGTAATTCTGCAAACTTTGGAACGGAAAGAAAACATTCAGTATTCTTTTTTTCTTTTTATGTTAAACACGGCTGTCCAATACCTCTTCTTTGTAAATTATGTTTAAGAATGTTAATATTCTAAGTGTGTCTACTATATTCCTCATGTAACGGCTGAAAATAAAACTAAAGTACATACGTAGCTATTATTGATGTCAAGCCGGTCTTGTCGTTAGAAATAGCTATTACACCTTATATGTGCATATGTGTGTGCGGAAAATAAATAAAATAATATGATGAGTTTTACTTTTATGAGTTAATTACAATATAATCGCCTTTTAGTTCTTCTTGTCATATTAAGAATTCGCAGATATACTATAATAACGAGCAACATGTAATATACGAGACTGTTCCAAATAAATGCTGATGATTTAAACTAGTGACGTGAACAATATGAATTTAATTTCTTCCTAGGCTAGCTACTATTTCAACAATAATAGTAGTAGTAGTAGTGATAGTAAAAACAGATGTTTTGGATTTCTTAATAGTTAATGCTTATTAATATTTTTAAATTCTAAGATTTGAAAAGTTTATGGATTTTAAGTTGCTTATAAATTTGACAGTTTTGTTTTTTACTTTTGTTTAAAATAAGCGTTTGGAATGCGTTTCTATTTCTATAATAAACTCGATAAGTATTTTGTCTTACTAGCTACGATATATTCAAAAGTACAGCAGAATGTGTATTACGCTTGACATTGAAGATTGTGAAACGCTCTTCAGGTGTGCTTTATGAGTAATGAGTATGATGGATAATTGCAGAGTTAACTAAAGTATATGTACTAATAAAGTAGAATTTAAAATATACATCCATTCGACGTCAAGTAGAAGTGTATTTTAGTAAATTCAACAATTCTATATAAACCGGTAAGGTAAAAGGAAAAAAGAGATGAACCATTAAGGTATAAAGAGTGTTAAAGAATTCAGTGTTGCCTAAAAAATGGTAATGTACGGGACATCTGCGAAATTTAATGTTGTAAAACTATTAAACATTCGCAACTAAAAAAGTGAAACTTTCTTATTTTTTATCTGGTGTTTAATATTTACTTGCTAATGCTAATTTTTCCCTATATGCAATTATTCAGATTTGTCTTGTTGAATTACTTATATCAGATGTAATGTGAACACAACAATAATAAATAACAAATAGGTATATGTGCTAGACACATCGGTAAAATTCTATTTATTGAAGATCTTAAAAATTAGTAATGATGCAAAATAAACACCAAATATTAAAAATTTTAATTTAACTTAGACTTACCGAATACCACCCTTAAAAATAGCAGGTATCAAAGCTCTCAATTATAGGTGTATTAAAAGGGTAACGTTCCCCTCCAATTACCCCAAGTTTGTATATTCACCCTAATTACATTACGAATTTCATGGCAGCGCTTTGTTTTTGCTTCCACAGTATTCATGCCAAGCCAATCGTATTTTCATATGGTGTATGCGCGAACCCATCTTTATTTCTGTTTTCTCGCACCCCTCTCGAGGCGTCGCGACACTAGGGTGCGGTCAACGAGAACGACGTCGCGTCGTCATATAAATAAAGACAATCACAATCTAGGAGTACCTAAAATAATATAGTTGACATAGCATTCTAAGTGGTTGTGTACGTAATGGATTTAAAAGGCAAGGTGGCTATTGTCACTGGGGGTGTGTCTGGATATGGAAGAGCATATTGTGAAGAATTGCTTAGACACGGTTGTAAAGTAAGTACCTATAATATTTCATTATAAATATCAAAGCACTTCACCCTGATAACTTTTATCAAACTTTCAAAGACAGTTTGGCCCCAGAATAATAATATGTAATAATAAATTTTTTAAACATTTCATATAAAATTTAATTAAATTATTCAATTTAATAATAATGATTGATCAAATATTACCTACTTATTTACTGTTATTGTGATTAAGGTGTAAAACCACAAATAATGCATCCAACAAAAAGAAAAGTTTTTGCAGAAACTTTTAAGTATGCTAAACATAAGAAAACGATCTAAAATAGTACAATTAAACTAAACGAAATGGTTTCTGGTTGAAATGAAAATGTTTATAATTTTAATAAATTGACAAATAGGTTCAAGACTTTTTTACATTGTAAATGTACGCGTATGATAGCACATGAGTAATTGCCTTGAAGGATTAATATAAATTAAATATAATAATTACATAATTATTATACAAAATATCTCGTAAATAATGGATGGCCTTTCAACTTGTGTGTTCCTTATCATCAGGGTCGTCAGAACTGGGACTGGTTGGACACCCACCTCCACTCTTTGCCATCCTGAGCTAATCTTCGCACTTCCCTAAAACTAGAACAACTCACATCCTTAATTATTTAATCTGGTTTTAGCCCTACTCCTTTTAACTTCGGTTTCTGCCTCTAATATGTCTCTAACAGCTTGTCATGCTTGAGAAGATATCCTACCAAAATATCTCGCCTATTTCTTATTGACTTCCATAAAGTCACGTATTTCTACTAATACATCTTCATTTCTAACTTCTCTATCCACGATACCCTCGTCATTTGCTTGTAACGCCACATTTCGAACTTTTATAACCTTTTCTTGTCCGCAGCTCCCATTGTCCATGTTTCGCACCAGTACTGCGTCGTGCTCCATACATACATCTTTAACAATCTTTTTCGAATTTCTAAAGTAACCGTTCGAGAATATAGGAATGGCTTCTTTTTAATGAAGGTAACTCGACCTTGCGCTATCCTCTCCTTTATATCTCTACTATTCGTTCCGTCCTGACTTATCTGACTTCCTAGATACCGTGAAAATCAGCCTCTTATTCTAATTTCTCGTCTTCTATTTTTATACTCGCTCTTCCCATACTATTTCTTCTTTTGCATACCACTATTTTTGTTTTATTTTTATTTATTTTAATGCAATAGTATTTTGTCAATTCCGCATTCATTTTATTTGAAGCTGTCTTTAACTCCCTCGTGCTAGATGCTGATACTGCTATATCATCTGCAAATATAAGTATACTAATCATTTGCCCTCGTATATCTATTCCTAAATTTGTCCTTTTTTTAATAATATTGATTGCGTTTTCGATGTATAGATTAAAAAGTAGCCGTGAGAGTTTGCATCCTTGTCTGGCTCCCTTCCTCATATTTACATCTCTACGTTGCTGCTCCAGCTCTATATCTGCCTGTTGCTGTTTATACAGACAATAAGGGGCAATAAATATCATTAGTTACGTTTTCTTAAATTATTGATTATTTTGCGCACAGCGACCATAAATGAAGGATCCTCTTTTTATTTTCTGGATAGTACTGATTCTCTCCACGGGATACTTTCGGTTGGACTTATACCTACTAAACCTTAATTACATGATATACAATTATAGATAATAGCTTACCTTTTCTTTTTTCCAATCTTTCTAGGGTTTGCTTCATCCAGTCTATGCCTTCTTTTGACCTGTTCATTATTTCGGCATCGCTTAATTCTGTCCTAGTTGAACAAATTATCTTTTATATGTTGTCAGGTTTCTTTTTCCGATTCAAATATTTCACATGCTTATTCTTCTTCATTTGACCAAGATCTTCTTTCTTTCCATTAATTGCAACATCAAAACCTTCCTATTATAGTTACCTTATTGATCTTCCCTTTCAGTTCTACATATTTTAGTTTTGCGTCCGTTATCCCTCTCCTGTAGTCTTTTGCCAATTTGGAATCTTTTATTTATTCTATTCTTACTTCCCTCTTCTTTGCACTGGACGTATTTCTCCATGCGTTGATTGAAACTTTTCCCATCGATTCTGTTGCTTCTCTTTCTCATTTGTTTGTTCCTCTTTTAGCCATTAGTTTTTCATTTCTTTTCCTTACTTTGGGGTTTTCCGGTTGTTTTTTACAATTTCTCTTCTGTACCCTTTTAGAATTTGGGTTTCTATGTTCATTTTTATTTTAATTTTTTGAAATTTGCACTGTACATACCGCTTTTGTAGCTTTTTGGTTCTATCTTGGTCTCTTCCAAGACAATGTACTTTGGCGTGAATTTCCCTCTTCTTTAGTTTGTCATTCTCATATTCAACTCCATGCTTTATAATACCTTTCACCAGAATATGAAACATAATTACTCTCCTTTTCTAATTTCTTACAAATTTTCTTTCTCCAATTTCCAATGCTTGTGTTATGGTTACTGCTAACTTCTTTGCAGTTTCTGTTGTATGTGCTTCATCTCCATTGCCATTTCTAAATGTGTACTTGCTACTTTTATTGTCATTTGCTGGATCCACGCTTCACTCCTTATGTTGTCTTCTGCTGCTGCCTTTTCATTTTTGAACTTGTATTAATTCTAACTTCTTTTCAGTTTCTGTTGTGTGTGCTTCATCTCCATTGCTATTTGTAAATGTGTATTTACCACTTTTATTGTCATTTACTGACTCCAGGCTTCATTCCTTATGGTGTTTTCTGCTGCTGCTTCTTTGAGTTATATTAATTTACTCGTACTTCGTTTCTTCTTTTTTCTCCCTCTCTCAGTCGACTTATTCGTGTGATACTTTCTCTTCCTACCCTTTTTTCAGGTGTATAAAGTGGTTTATCCACTGTTTCTCTGTGGTACTTACATCTATTTGTTCTCTTTTTTATTTTTCTCCTTTTATGTACATTAGTACTTTATTTCTTTTTTCAACCTTTAAATGGTTTTTCTTGTATTTTTTTATGTAGTTTTGCATATTTTGCTTTCATCTCTTGAAATTGTGATCTTCCTACATTGCTTTTTATCGTTTTTCTTAACAGTATATTCAGCTTTGCTTTAAGTTTTCTATATTCTTTATTCCACCATTTTCATTTAGTTACCTTATTTTCTCTGTTTTTTTTTTACTCTTTTTTGTTATGAGTTTCTTTACTTTGTTGGTCTTAAGTAAGGACTAAAATAAAAGTAAAACGAATTTAATTACACAATTCCCTTAAAAATTATTATAATATATGCCATACACTTTCTTATCATTTAATATCTCTGGTAATCTAACCGGGCCTATTACTTCACTCATTTAACATCTCCATCCAGTAATTTATTTATAAATCTTATAAAGATACAGTAACAAAATAATAGGCGTTTAAATATCTGTTTTGGTATAATGCACGGATGAATATACCGATAAGACAGAACGTTGCTAGTCGGCAATTTTTCTTTTTACGTCACATGAGCAAAAATGCATAAATTAGTGAATGTGTATAATATATTTTTTTAACCATGCCTATCTGAAAATATAGTACTTGCTTCTCTGAAAATTGTCCTAAACTAACCAACCTCTCAAAATCGTTTGAACAATGCCTAATACCCTTTACAAGTTTTAATTTGTATTTATTGGACTTACATATATACGATATTTATACGAAAAGATGACTGAAGGTATTTATAGGAAGTTTTATACCACGCCGTATTTTTCAAAAAATGGTGCCGCCCTTAGATGATTGGATGTAATAGGATATCCTTATCTTCGGTTCTCAACTCGTCACTAGTAGTGCATGCGTTAACTCTGCTTCCGTGAGGCGTCGTTCGTGCAATAATAATTGCAAACAAATAATACTAAATATGATAAAGAACATATAAACATCGGTCAGTTTTACCGATCGTGGATAACTCCAGGAAACTATAAGTATAACATTGAAAAGAGGGAAAAACGAATTCGATGCAATCGAAAAGTTCCATGGAATTTCCATCCAACAAATCATGAATTATTGAAAAGTTTTTGAAGAAGAAAGTCATCATCGAAAAGTTCTATAGTATCTTCTGGAAGTTTTTACTGATTGCAGATAATCCCAACAAACCATAAATTATATGAAAGTTTCCGAAGAGAGAAGAACGAATTCGTTTCCACAAATTGTAAATAACATTAACTAGTTATTTGTCTTTTGAAGGCTCGCGAAGAAAGGAGAACAATTTAGTCAAAATCGGGGAATTTCACGGAACGTTTTGGAAGAAATCAAATATTTGTGCCTGTTACAACCAGAGGGTACCGAATAAGAGGCATTAAAGGCAATGATGACAGGAAAAGGGTAAGAAGAGATGAAAACAGCCCAAGAAAAAATGAAACAGAAAATCGAAGACAGTCAAGAAGCGAAAATTAAAAGCAGTACAAGATGACGTGAGAATAGGACAAGAAGAATTAAAAGCAGTTTACTAAGAAATGAAACAGGAAATGAAAATAAAAATAATAAAGAGAGTACAAGTAGCAATCACTATAAAAATAGAGGGAAAAATAAATGATATAAGAAATGAAATGGGAAAGATACGCGTAAAGGAGATCAAGATGTAAAAGAAGATCGAAGGAACGGATGGTTTCTTATGATAAGTTACATATTTTTCGAAACAGGGTGAAACATCCACTAAAAAATTAAATTTATAGAATATCAATAATACAAGGAAACTCCGTATAAAAATGAATCACGTGTAAAATAGGCACTTCATAATACATAATACACCTCTCATCAGCCGTAGTCTTAGAGCCTCCTGTTGTGTATTAACGCGTGCATCGAACATTCCGCCGTTTCTAGAAAGTTCCAGTAGCTGTGCCCATAACACTCGGTCTCAGCGTTCTCCTTCGAGAACATTCCTCTCTGGAACTTTCCTTTCCTCCACTCCGTACTTTCACCGTTTGTATATATACGCCCGCTCACCACATTCGGTCAATAGTCAATACCGAGCGGCATGTCCTAGAGGTTTAGACCATTGCTTAGCATTCGGGA